GGTGTGTATGGTGAGCCTAAGTAACCTGTATGTATAATGAATCTAAACAAGTAATAAAAACATTTTGTAAATGTAAAATGATGTAGGTATGGCAGTGCCAAAAAGAATGTGAACAAGAATATAAGGATGATACAGCTATACATAAATCATCCGTACATGATTTTCAATATTAATATTTAACATTACACTGTAAAATGCATAATTTACTTTAATATTACTGCAGTTGGAAGTTATATATTCCTGACTGTTGGTATGCAGTTTGTTTATCATAATATCATGGTCATGTCAGGGTAGCTTTCAGTCAGGGGAAAAAACGTCACAAAAAGTAATTAAATACATTTTGTAAATGTAAAATGATGTAGGGATGGCAGTGCCAAAAAGAATTCAAACAAGAACATAATAATGATACAGCTATATATAGATCATACCTACATGGTGAAAGTTGGTGTATTCTATGAATATGTGTAATAAAATTTAATAATGTGTATATTTATTTATTTTACTCCTTCACTACATACATAATATAGGGGTTGGCTCCCTAAAGACAGCGATTGTATAATGTACATATCATTGAGTATATATATATCTTACAGTCATCTAATGTTAATCTATTATTAGCTGGTAATAACTGTTTCACCTTTTTAAAAGAACACCAGATTTTTGTAAACAAGCTAACTTCAAGGGGTAGTGATAACACAGTTTGCATTAGAATTATGATTTTTTATTACTACTAATTATTACGACTAAGCGATGACACAGTGCACTTCCCAGAAACACATAGAATGACTTGGGTTTAAACTGACGTTAGTGATAAAGTAGTTGTAGAATTAGTTATCTCGACTAAAGAAATATGAACATGATGTCTATAGAGTACCTTGGCCATCCATACATTAGCGTCTACCGACTCTATGATAACCGGTATGTGTGATGAATCTAACTAACTGGTGTGTGTGTGTGTGTGTGTGTGTGGTGAATCTAAGTAGCGGTGTATGTATGGTGAATCTAAATAACCGTTGTGTATTGGGAATCTAGATAAGCAGTGTGTGTAGAGAGTCTAAATAACGGTGTGTGTGTGTGTGTGCGTGGTAAATTTAAATAACGCTGGGTGGGTGTGGTGGATCTAAATAACCAGTGTGAGTGTGGTGAATCCAAATAACGGTGTGTGTGAATGGTGAATCTAACTAACTAGTGTGTGTGGTGAATCTAAATAACTGATGTGTGTGGTGAATCTAAATAACCAGTGTGTGTTGTGAATCTAAATAACCGGTGTGTGTGGTGAATCTAAATAATCGGTGTGCGTGGAGAATTTATATAACTGGTGTGTGTGTATGTGTGGTGAATCTAAATAACGGTGGTGGGGGGGGGGTTAAAAACGGTGTGTGTGTGTTTGGTGAATCTAAATAACTGGTGTGTGTGTGTGTGTGTGTAGTGAATCTAAATAATCGGTATGTGTGGTGAATTTATATAATGGTGCATGTGTGGTGATTCTAATAACTGTATGTGTGTGTGTGTGGTAAATCTAAATAACCGGTGTATGTGTGGTGAATCTAATAACAGTGTGTGTGTGGTGAATCTAATAACGATGTGTGTACACACACATCGTTATTAGATTCACCACACACACCGGTTATTTAGATTTACCACACACACACACCGTTATTAGATTCACCACGGTGAATCTAATAACGAGTGTGTGTGTGGTGAATCTAATAACGATGTGTGTGTGTGGTGAATCTAATAACGATGTGTGTGTGTGGTGAATCTAATAACGATGTGTGTGTGGTGAATCTAAATAATCGGTGTGTGTGTGGTGAATCTAAATAATATTCAGAATATGACGAATTGATATTATAAATCCAAGAGCAATTTATACGTGGAACTAACTTGGCTAATTGATGGCTTCAGTTGTGTATGAGTAAGTTACTTTTATTACGGAGACTATGTTTATCATTCGGCCTTGATAAGATCTTAAGATAATTTGATTGGACGACTATGTCACACTCATCTTGGTCGTGTTCTAGTACATCTGATCTAATTAAATTAGCATGTTCTTCCACAAGAATAACTATTTCTTCTAGTGGACTCCGGTATAACCATGCTGAAAATAAGCAAAAGTAGATTTATAAACTACATTTGATGACTTTAATGCATGAATACTGTCCTTAAATATAACGTACAACATTTAGTTTAGATTTAACCAGTGTGTGTGATGAATATTAATAACAGATGTGTGTGATAAATCTAAATAATCGGTATGAATGGTGGACCTTGGACCTAAATAGTTGGTATTTGTGATAAATCTAAATAGTATGTTTAATCAAATTAACCGTTTTTCTATTTTCTTTAATGTAATTTAAACTGTGGTTTGGTAAATCTCAATAGGATGTGTGTTTATTTATAGAACCTATATGTTCGGCAGAATGCATTACGGTTCCTTATGAAAACGTATTTATGATGCTATATTGTAACCGAATAAGCCTATTTTTTCTATTACTTTTCGAATGGTAATATAAATGTAAGTAGGTATACGTTTATAAGTAGGTATCAGTGAAAGAGTATACAGATTTCAAAAGCAGCGCCTTTATTAATATGCTGCAGCCATTTTGTCAAATTCTTAAACAGCTGATGTAAAGAGTATAGGCAACGTTTTCAGAGCACCCTTCCCAGTGGCACAGTAGTATATCTGCGGAATTTCGACACCCGGTGTGGGCAGAACACAGATAATCCTTTGTGTAGCTTTTTGCTTAACTTCAAACAAACGCTTTCGGAATAATAATATTCCTCCTGATACACGCATGCGTCATAGAACGTGAAAAACATACATTATTGTAATCGTTATAATTGTTAATTAATCTAATTAAAAGCTAGAGTGTAAAAAATATAGTATGGAAATATATGTATGCATATAAAGAAGAAAATGAAAAATCAGCTGAATTAAAAGAATATTAACAGCCGGATATATATGAAATTTAGATAACAGTTAATTGAAAATGTATATGAAAATCGAATCTAAGTGTTTTGAGCTTTCGAGATATTGCTTGTCAAAATAAAACAAGTCTTGAAATACATAAATGAATTAAACCTGACATTTTCTAATTCTGAATATACGTTAAAGTCCTCAAAGTAAACTGAAGTATTTTTTTATAAAAATATGCTTCATAGATACCACACATTCTATGTGCATATAATATTTTGATAAGTGACTGTATTTTTACTTACAGCTGTATTGTACGTTGTGTTTTATATTGGTACTTTTTAAGGCGTTTGAGCTTAGGTGATGAAAGGATTCTTTTCCTATCCAGAAAGTTTTGATGTTTTTTGTTTTTTTCACCTGAATACGTTGATCTCTTTTTTTTTCACAATCTCTGTCACTTTTGTCTGTGTACAGACAACTGCACTAATGCTGATGATCAAGTAAAGTTTTTTATATTTTTTCTCAGCCTTCTTCAACCACTACCAGCAACTGTGTAAGAAAAAATGAAACAAAAGACGCTTCTACGAAGACAAAGTGGATAACACTCAGCCTTAATTGATGCAATACTCGCTCGCTCTCAGCAACTCGAAATTATACAGTGTATCATTTTGTTAGCAAAGGAAACACCACTTGGAATCCATTCCATTGCAGACCTAATGGATTTCTAAACAAGCCAAACTGAAGCCACATTAACTCAAAGATGCTTTTATGATACTTAAAGCGTTTGTTTTAAAGTTACTTTAGCTCTTTACAGATTATTGAAACGTTAAATTCAAATAAAACTTTTAATCGATACTGCGTAATCACTTTCATAAACAGTACAAAAATCTCAATTATGATTTTTTTTTACTTCTACGGTCAGAGGAAGAAATCAAATATTTATTGTAAACAAAGCTAAATCTCCAAACGTAGTTCTATAGACTTTCGGTATAAATTAGTATAATATATTTCAACTACAAAATTGGTGGGTAGCTTCAACCATTTTGACTTTATCCTAAATCTTCTCACAACGTTAACTGTGAATTTTAATACAGAGATATCTGTTTATTTAATGAGGACCCGGCATGGCCAGGTGGTTAGGGCGCTCGACTCGCAATCTGCTCGCCCTTCCAGCCGTGACGGTCAATCCCACTATTCGTTGGTAAAATAGTAGCCCAAGAGTTGGCGGTGGGTGGTGATGACTAGCTCTAGTCTTACACTGCTAAATTAGGGACGGCTAGCGCAGATAGCCATCGTGTAGCTTTGCGCGAAATTCAAAACAAACAAACTTATTTAATGAAATCTAAACAATTTTATTTAGACGGAATATAAACGATATGTATACAAGATCACCATCATCTTTATTTTCACAAAACATATTTCAAAATACTGAAATTTATTGGATGGTCCCATGATGTTATTTAATGTACTTTTTTAACTGAAGTTAAAGCTAGCACTCTTATAATGATAATTAAGGCGTTATTCTTATTCTTCCTTGTCCAATGCTTCTTGCGAATCCAGACATATGCTTAAATTAGAAAGCAATTCTTTTCCTCATCAGGAATTGCTGAGATTACAGAGAAATCTAATTTATCATCAGGACTTGAAAAGACTGTCGGAACTATTGATGTTATAAAGTAATTTATTTTCACATCAACATTGGAACAACACTCAGACCTACATAATCCAGAGTATTTGTTTTCTTCATAAGCATTTGTAGCAAAACTCAGAACTGTTAAAAGTATATAGCATTTTCTTTTCTCCTTAAGACTTACCAAATCTGAGAAATACTTAACATAGATTATTTATTTCCTCATCAAGACTTAGAGCAACTCTCAGGATCTTTTAAACTCCAGTGTATATTATTTTTCACCAGTACACGCAGCAAATCTCAGAACTACTTATACCACAGAGTATTTGTTTTCTTCATCAGGAGTTGTAGCAGCTCTCGGGTTTGGTTAAACTACGTCTTATTTCCTTTACTCTTCAACACATGTAGCAAACTTCAGTTTTGTTTGAAGTAAAGAGTATATCCCTTTCTCAACAGGACTTGCAACAACCCTCGGAACAGGAGTGTATTGTCTTCTCGGAGAAGCCGCTAGGGAACACACTGGACCGTCTGTGGTGTTATCTTACTTGATAGCAGCTGTAGCGTCTTGTCTGGTCGGTGAGTAAACCTTATTAATCTATAATTACTGTATTTCTTTTATTCGAATTAGTATGTTGTGAAAAAAGTTGAATTTTTTGCTGAAATTTGTTACAATTTTTTGAATAAATGTCATTACAAGTATGAGTAGAAACTTTAGAGGTACGGGTGTTTTATCATATAAATAATAATGAACTAAAATCTTAAATTGACTTTCAATATACGTAAGCATTAAGTCGCAGTCACGAATACTGTATACACTGGGAAATTGAGATTCTGTATATTTGGCAATAATAGTGTTATACGTGTTACACTTTGTCAGAACATTTTAGATATTTTTAAATGCTCTTGTGACCATATATGGCAACGAGGTGAAATCCGAGAGTAAGCAAAAGATTAAAAAACGATCTAAGAAGAAAGATAAAAGGTAAACAAAATAGTAAACAACTGATACTAATGAAGGGCATCTGGCCGAAATTTGACCAAATGTTTGTTTTTCGTACATCGTTTGTTAACCATATCTAATAACGCTTGGAGACGGCTTGATTGGGTAATGAAGAAAAACTTTAATATAAGTTTAACATAACAGCAAATGTACAGCGTTTCGACAAGGTTTTGTCATCATTAGATACCGTCTCCAAGCATTATTAGTCTCAAAGTGGGGTCCTCGTCATCGAATTTGATATCCAACTAGTTTTTTTTTCTGATCATCAGTTTCTGTATTGATCGATCAATCTACTGCTCTCATTCGATAGCCTATATAGATACCTTGACCAGAAGTAACTACAAGATTTAATTAAAAGACCGTTTTTCGATATAGTTTTGTACCATGGTCAATTTCCGCCATCCCTCAACAAAACAATTATTCAACCATGAATAATACAATTCTAATTCATCGTTAAACTAATCTTCATCCATCAGTAATTTAACCCTCGTCTATCAAAAAACAAACCCCACCTATCAATAATCTACTCTCATTCATCGTTAAACCAAACTTCATCCATCAGTAATTTAACCCGTATCTGTGAACAAACAAACCCTCACCCATCAATAATTTAACCCTCATGTATCGTCAAACTTCATTCACCAATAAATCAGTCCTTGTCTGTCATCCGTCATTAAGTTAACTCTAATACACCAATAAACTAACCATCCCATCAACAATTAATTCTCATTCATCAATAAGCTAACTTTCATCCAGCAATAAACTACACATCATTCATAAATTAACCAATCATGATCTATTTATGCAAGTTCAACTTTGACATTATATTTTTTATAAACTTGTACGTTGTTACAAAACATCTAAGGTTTATTTTTTGTTGATAAGCATAAAGCTACATAATGGGATATCTAATCTCTGCCCACCGCAAGCCTAAACAGTTCAAGAGCGAGCACTAAATGTTTTTTTTTTTACAAAATCAACAGATTTCAGATTTAAACCCAGTATTAGTACTTAACATTGCTTTATGCATAAAAGATTCAGTAACGATTTCCATATTAACATAACTACCAATTTTATTGGTTTTCTATTATAACATAACCCATTAGGTAAAACCTTAACTTTAAAGTTTTAACTGAGTCAGAGTATAATAAAAACTACCTTTGCCCAATATACAAGGCTATACTTTCCCAGATCCAGTATTTATTCTGAACAAACGTAAGTCCGAGATATTTATTCTCAAAAGACGCTGAGTCTACGTTTGTCATATAGTAAGCAGTTTTTAAGTTACTTTAAAAACGTTTACTCGCGATTTTCACTTAAATCAGTTCTTCAAATTTAAGACTACCAATGTATAACCTGTTTGTTTAAATACATACCGAAAGTATAAATTCTTTTAGTGTTAGCGATCTAAATATGAACAATGGCCATTAAAATGCATTTTTTACGTAAATGAATAAATATAAAGACAATAAAAAACAGAGCGAAAAATTTGAAATATTTTTGTAATAAATGGTTGAAATAATGCGTTTTTCTCTACCCCTGGCAACACAGTTTTATTACTGTATTGTGTTATGTTGGAATATTTTTCTAATATCCTTATCCTCCCGAGTTTTCTGTCCTGGTGTTATGCTGGAATTATGTTGTTCTAGTGTTATAGTGGGATATTTTGCTGTATCTTTAAGCTACTGAGTTTCATTGTCCTAATGTTATATAGGAATATTTTGCTATATCCTTATGCTACCCTCTTAGAGTTTATGTTGAGACATTATACTAAATACGTGAAAATTGTTTTCCTGCTTGCATCGTGTTAGGGACGTTAATTCCAGTTGTAAGACGTAATCATGATTTTAAACGCGTATATTATTGCACAATATTTTTAGCCGTTTTGAACAAGCCTATATGAAATTTGACAAGGCACTACGTTTCCGATCATAGAAAAATATAGCTTAAAGTGTTACTCTCAATTTCTGGTTATTTTCTGCAGGTTTGTAATAGTGAAATTGCAATACAAACAGGTGATATGATAGTTCAGAAAGTCAAATGAAGTTGAAAATAAAGCGATATTTCGTTATTTGGCATTTTCAACTTGAATAGCACCTTATGCAACATATAATAGACTAAACGGTCATGTTAGAGACCCCAACTTTCAGACATAGTCATCTTTAGTTTATAAATGCTGACCAGAGGGATGACAAATAGCCAGCAACACCCGCCTCCTACATGGCTATGTTTAACCGAATAGCTAGATTGACTGTCACAGCTATAATTTTTCCAGCAGCTGAAAGTGCAGATTATGTTTAATGGCGTATCACGGCTCGAACCTTGGACCTTTTGACCCATATCCAGCACGCTAACCACTAGATAACATTAAGCGTAAAGCATTGTTTCAATAATAAATTGAAAACGTTTTAACGATGTCTACTTAACCGCGAAAAATAAGGAGCAGACTATACAACGGATTAGGAGAATGTGGGCCAGGTGTGATTTAATAACACAGGTCTGAGAATTTAAACTTCATAAAAGTTGTTTTGGTTTTAATAACGGATCTTCCATAATTCAGCTTCGCAAGTTTCGAAAATAACATTTTTTTCCTATCACGTAAGGATTTTTTACAAATCGGGAAGAAAATAAAAACTCTTACTTATATCAAATTATTATTTCGTTTACCACAATGAACGTATTTTATTATATATATATATATATATATTTGTTAACCAAAATATAAACAAACTGAAGAAAAGGGAAGATCATTGATGTCAAACGAATATGTATCCTCATTCATCCTGATTTTTGTTGTGAAATCTATGTCTTTTAGTCACAAAACTGCGTGTTGTGGTCTTTCTTTTATGTTTTGCGTTATGACGCTTTGTGAACAATCTGTACGTGATGGAGAAAAATGGATATCATTTTCGGATTCAGCGTACATGAATTACTGTAGAACATGTAAACATTTCAAGATAATAAAACCATCGCAGGCCTGTTTAATTAGCCTGCCCTAACTGCGAACCCGAGGATTCATGACTTACAACCTGTTCCCGCAAAAACGCGTTCCGCACTTTGGAGCCATGTGTGCGTTATAAGGGTGACAGTTAAATCTCGCTATTGATTCGATAAGAAAAGAGTAACTGGTGGGTGCTGTTGACTATCTGCCTTCCCTCAAATATACCATTTCAAAATTAGGAACGGCTAGCGTAGAAAGCCTTTGTGTGCATTTGCATGAATATCCGTAATAAACAATGAATAAGATATGATAGTATTTTAAAAATGCCTTGAAATTTGCTCTCTGTATATAATTATGTATAGGTTTTATCTTCTATCCATTGGCCATTTTTCTCTCTGGTTAGTTATTCCTCTATATATTTCCTTATACGTTTATCTCTTTTTTTTTCCACCTGTATATTTACCTATTAATTCATCTTTAGGAAAACCGTTCTACTTATCTTTAAATTTTTACCTTGGAAACAAGATATAACCAGAAAAGTAATCGATGTTATTAACTTCAGACGTAACACTTGCCGATATTCATTCCTACATTCCAGCTTATAATAAGACAAAGACAGAAAGTAAATAATAATATTTTGTATGAAGTAGTAGAGATACATGAAAGACATTGTATAACACTCTCATTCTACCTGTTGTGATAAAAACACTAAAACTATGAAATAAACGGTATTTGATGATCGGGATAATACAAGCACACCCTATATATTCCATCTCTAAGAAAGAAAAATAGTAGGAGGGAGAGAGAGAGATGTTCAGTTTGAAAGTTAATATATGGTCCCTTAGTTTGGAAATGACAGGGAATATTCCAAGATTTATGATACATAAAAGATCGGAATTATCTGCTCGGACAGAGCTTCTTAATTGAGCATCAAAACAAAATTTATATGCTTCTAACTTTGTTTGCATATTGTGAGCGAGCTCGAAAGGTTGTTGTAAGCTCTCTTATTTGACATTTAATTAAAGATTGAATCAGACAAGAGAAAGGGAATAAAACTACAAGCTGTATTTCAACAAACACGAACTCATCTTTGTAGCTGCCGAAGTTTCAATATATTTGCCAAGACTAAAACTGCCTAAAATGATAATTATAAGAATTGCGTGTATTTCAACGATGTTTCGGTACAAAAGTAAAAGCTCTGTAGCTGAAATTAATTATTTTATTCCATTTGTTGTTATTTCTGTTTTCACAACTGATCACTTTAGTTTCCAAAATGCCCTTTAATTTTATGTGATGAGTTTTAATGGGTCAAAGGTGAACTTTAAGATACCTTCCATTCTTCTAAAGGTCAAAACTAAAGTGTTTTATTGTCTTGTTATGAGATATAGTTCCGTATGGTATCTATACTTCTCGTAATTGGAAATATTAATCACTGATATTTCAAATAAAATAAATTTCATGTTATGAGTTTTAACCTTAGAGTTGCAGCATTTGCAAAGTAATTATATATATATGTATATGTATATATAAAACCAACAATATTTTTCTATATAGTTCAAGCAGTATCCTCTTGTTAACCTTAGCTGGGTAGTCGCGGTCGTGTATTCAATCAACAAAAGCATCCTATATATTTCAAGCAGTATCTTTTCATTAGCATAAGCAAGGTTATCACGATTATATATATAACCAAGCAAACCGCATTGAGTAGCTCAATCAGTATCCTCTCGTCACCATTAGCAAGATAATCATGATAGTACACATAGCCAGCAAGTACTTATTTTATGGCTTAAACGATATCCACTCATCATCTTAGCCAAATAAAGATTCTATACGCAGCCTACAATTTTCAGCCTGGTGTCCATGAACTAGTTCTTTTAATATGAAGTGGGGTGTTTTAAAACATCTAAAAAATTGAGCTGGCTTGCCTGAAACAACATTCAATAATACAGAGACACAAAGCTTGCTTTTTTATATTGGTAGCTTTTATATTAGATATACGGAATGGTCTGAGAGCTAGTTGTTCGTGTTTTTGATGGAATGAGTGAATGATCATGTAAGTTGTTTAATCAAATACAAATGAGTAGAGCTCAGTAATGCTAAACACTATAGTCTTCTTCAGCCGTAACACTGTTTAACAGAACTCAGTACCAAATATATTTGTAGACTACATTTCATACCGAAATGATATTTGGTTACCCGATATAGATGAAAGCTGAAACGAACCTCTTGCACAAACGGCCACATTTCCAGCAAATTTACGAAAATCAGAAACGAGATGGTCGAATGATACAAAAAAAATGTCAAGTACATTTAAAAAAGTGTAGAAAGTTAAATCAATAATAAGGTTCGGGACTAATAATTCCACAAAATATTTTAACCATTTGATGTCACAACTAAAAGAGTTAAGGTATTAAAATAACTTGTATTCCAGCTCAAAGATGCGGTTGTAAAAATTTCATCCTTTTGCGGGTAAAAAGATGTATGTGAGTTTTAAGCCTATAAATTAGTTGATATGGTAACTCATTATTCGTGTTCAAAATATTTGGTATCAGCTAACTACAAAATACTATTAAAGATTTTTAATTCTTGGCATTTTATATGTAATTGCCATCCTAAGTCAGGCAGGCTAATGTTTTTCACTTGAGAAACATGCTATGGGCTAAGGTTGGGTGCTTTTTCTTTCTCCCTTACGTGCGTATGTGATGTACATGCAGGAAGCTATAGTAAACATAGGTTATTTCGAACCTAGACACGCGTCACATGGTCGTTTCCCAGAATATTCAAAAAGCAGTTTTTTCAAAAAATCGATACTAATCATCCGATGATCTTCCATTTCACCAGCTGTGCTCTGCTAGCTGCACACACATGCACCCTAGTGAATGCGATGCGTGGGAATTACGAATTACTTCTTTTGTGTTTATAAAGTTTTTCTAGAGATTTTAAGTGCAGAAAAATGTAAATGTTGAAATGATCTTCTCACAGAAGATTTACATGCGGATGTTTCACATCTGTTTCTTTCTCTAAGACATCAATTTCCATGAAGTAACAAATTTCAACACAAGGTTCTTTTATTCTGAAGAAAAGCTTATTTTCAGGTTTGATTCCAAAATTGAAAAAATATTGCAGATGTAGAATAGTGGCAGTTCCTTGAGCTTGAGACTGTCTTGTAATTATATTGTAAAAAACTAAAAGTCTTAATTATAGTCTCGAAACTAGACTTCCATAAGCTGTAACTGGCAGATTTAATCATCGTAAAGTTTTTTATTTATCCATAACTCAATATAAACCATGCTACTTTAATAAAATACGCTCATAATGACTGGTTTAATGTGGAAGACTTGAATAAAGTTGCATTAATTTTGTTTGCAGATATACCCACATTATTTATAAACTTTTATTAGAGTCAGAAAAAGAAAGAAAAAAAAACATAAAATATTCCGTATAAATGCTCTTAAGCTACTTTATAGTTCATAAAATCCATTGTTAAATTTTTACTCATCTTTATCATTATTTTGTGCTACTTACAGTCCGTTTTCTTCACACAACTATATTAGTTTCCTGTAGCTTGCATTTTCACCAGAAGTGTATTATTTCAGGAAAAAAGAAAAAACAATTTCTTAATACAGAATGCGAAAATTATACAAAACAGAAGTCGTACGATAATTGTCAGTTTTCATGCTATTGATCAATTGCTTGCAAAGAGTATAAATAGGTAGTTTCCCAACTTAATGTAGTAAGCCTGTAAGCCTTTGTTGATTAATATCATTATTATTTCATATAATATTAAAAGCTTTATAAAAAAATTATAATTAAATATGAACTTACCTAGTGTGTTTTGTTTTACCTTTTTTATTCATTAGGTTTGTGTTATTCAGAGTTGGCCACGCGATTTCCACGTGGGGGCTCTGCTTACGTCTACAGCTACGCCACTTTTGGGGAATTTTTTGGCTTTCTTATTGGATGGAGTATGATATTAGAGTATACAATTGGCGCTGCCCTTGCGGCGAAAACATGGAGTCAGTACTTTGATGTTGTCAGTAACGGAAGTCTTTTCAATTTCTTCAATCAGCCGCTAGGCGCTCTTGGCATTCCAGGTCTTGACAGATATCCAGATGTACCAGCAGTTCTGGTAATCATGACTGTAACGGTTGGCGTCATGGGAAAAGTGAAGGTGCGTATTGAAAGAACATAAATGAGTTATGTATACTGGTAACATATGGCATTTATGTGTTTATTCAAGGTTCGTTAGTGGTATGCTCAATAACCACTTGTGGCTATGCACTTTTTATTTCTGTTTTTGTGTGCTAGGGGAAAACTCGTGTTTCGCACATGAATCAATTTTGGATTGTAGTATTTTATGTTTGAATGCACAAAGTTGATAAAATGTAAACGCAGTGCTGTATATATAAAATAGTTAAAACATATAAAGAACCTGCCTAGAGTACTCACGTATGACGTTAGGTACGTATAGTTCTGAATTAATCTGGTGGCCGTGTGGGGCGTCTCAGTGACTGCGAGGTTAAACTTATTTCACAATACGTGATACCCACCAAACAGTTTAAAAGACACTTTGAGCTGAATGGTCTGATAAAAAAATAACAAACCGATCGGCTTATCTAGTAAGAGACATCATTTCTAGGGTCGCTTCGGGACAAGTATTAAAACTCAACAGTATGAAAGTATCAGTATTTTAATTGTCTACAAACACATACAATACCTTAAGACATATACACTGCTGTCTGAAATGGAGTTTGGGGGATGGCAGATCTATTTCCCACATGCACTTCCCTTTGCAATGTATAGTACTATCTAAACCAATCCTTCCTTTACGCGTAAGGTGACGTCGTCCGCACTACCGTATTTAAACCAATTTTTAGCGAATGTTGCACATATCTAAACCTCCGCACTACCGTATTTCTAATATCATTTATGCATAGTTTAGTGAAGTTTAAAAAGCTTCCCAAGCACGAACACAGTTTACTCTTTTAATTATACAGATTTTTTTTTAAATTTTTGTATACCATTACTGGGTTCAGTATGTAAAATCTCCTATTGATTTATAAGAGCTAAAAATATTTAAAACCTTCTTGATTTACTGTTGCTTACCTGTGTTACAAGTAGATAATCAAAATGATTAAATTCATCCCTTCAAATGTTTCACACACAACATGAGATCTAAACTTTAAAATTCTCTGATTCTAGGAACATAAAATGTTCGTTAATATATTTCCGAGTGTGGATGAAGCTGACCAGCCAACATCTATTGTCGTACCGTAAAACGACATTATTATAGTTCGGAAGTTACATTCAGTCAACCGGTTAACAACGTAATGTATTACTGCGCAGAGAGAGAGTATATCATCAGATGAACATTGAGTGTGTTGCTGTTGTTGACAAATAATCAATTAACATTTAATGTGTTATATGACCTGGATCATCAGAACACAAGAGAATTTTGTACATGATATTTTACGTTTAGTAGTGTTAAGATCTGACACAGAATTTCCGGTGAAATTGTTAATAATAGTTATAATTCAAAACGGTATAAGTCGTAATTCTCATCCATAACTAATACGTTCTCAAAAAATTATGGCTAATATATGGAAACGAACTGCTAAGTAGGCCTAGTACATAAAGTTATGACCCATTTCCTTTGAAACTTTAGTATAAAACAAATTGTTATACGTACAATCTTCTAACTCCTTGTAAATCTACTTTTGAAAGGTAATGTGGTGTATATTAGTCTCCTTGTTTTGGTATGTCTATATGATAACGTTAAGGCGTACTAAAAAGCTTACTATTTTATCGCAACAAGAGATATTAGTAATGACATTACATGTCATAACCTTTTAATTTTAATATAAATAAATTCTGTGTACTGTGTACATATTTGATGTAACGAAGGTCTAGGAAGTTGGGGAAGGGCGGTAACATATTTGATGTAACGAAGGTCTAGGAAGTTGGGGAAGGGCGGTAACATATTTGGTGTAACGAAGATCTAGAAAGTTGGAGAAGGGCGGTAACATATTTGGTGTAACGAAGATCTAGAAAGTTGGGGAAGGGCGGTAACATATTTGATGTAACGAAGATCTAGGAAGTTGGGGAAGGGCGGTAACATAGTTGGTATAACGAAGATCTAGGAAGTTGGGGAAGGGCGGTAACATAGTTGGTA